CCTGATATGAAATCTTTGCTGTGATTCATTAGAAAAATCAGGGGATATAAAAGTTATCGTAGTTTTTCAATTTTGTCTTCCAAAATACAATAAAGCTTTTGATCCACTTAGAGCATTTAAAATTCTCAACACTATTGCTCGAGTTTAAAAGATACAAGTCTCCTGTACTGGGTAGATTAACATTAATGACAGTAACCTTTGTGATTTCCCTGCACACCAAGGAGAGGCTAATTCTTTTGAGTTGATAATTCTATAGTAAACAATAATATGTGCTTCAGATGGAGGGAGGAAAACACCAGCAGTTCCTTGGTATTTTCTGCCTCTGGGCCTGTTTGTAAAACTCATAAGAGAAGGTGCCCATGTGCACAGGGTTGGTATCAGTGGGCACAGGACAATAGTGAATTTGACTGATATTCCATCTTTGACCTATGTATACTGGAATAGTGTCTCTGGAAGAAAAACAAACTTCTTCAAGGTCTTGAATTTTTAACCAGAAAAATATTGAAGTGGATGAAATGAAACACTCTAAATTGACACCGCACCACAGTCCAGTCAGCTACCACGATGATATTAGACTCTGTATCCCAGCAAACATCTGCCCAAAGAAAGAACCACCTGAGGAATGGAACCCACTTACAGCTCACCAAGCTTGTGCGTGGCACACTGACAGGCTGTTCTGAAGGAGGAAAGAAGCGGTGCCTTCCTGTTAAAGACCCTTATTACTGGTAGGGGACTTTGAAAGTCCATCAATACATATCACGACTCACCCTCACCATAGTTAGATGGGTCTCAAAGGCCTTCGCACTCACGGAATTCCTATAGACTAAGCATCTTAGGACATACTTTGAAAACCCAGACATTGCGAGATGTGAGCATGCTTGGCTAGGCTTGGGAGAATCAGAAAATCAAGGTCCAAAGTAAAAACAAATACACATACCAATTCGAACTCCAGGCTTAGAAAGAAGGTCAAGAGGTGATGAGAGTAGTTCCTGCTCTCTCTTTGGCTAAAACAACTGCAGTTTCTATTGATTTTCTAATTTCCAGAACTGAGAGGAAAGCTCTGAAAGACAGTGTCAAGGAAAAGAGCAACTCCTAAATAAAGACTCATTTATACACGTTCTTCCACCATCGCCCTGGCAGGTTAATAACACTGATCACCTAAGACAAAAAGAGAAATGCATTTTCAGATACAGTCAGCATTCATGAAGTGTAAAGATCCTTTCTGTTTCATGTTTTTTCTTCTTTTACACCTAGCAAAAACGTTCTTCATCCTTCCAGGCCCGATCTTAGTCACCTGCTTGTCATGGGCCCCAGCAAATGGTACAGCTGGCAAGGGACTGGAGTGATGGTATGGCAAGCCACCTCAATGTCAGGAAACAACCTCTACAAAATGAGTCTGCATTCTTAGTTCACCTAATATCCAGGTAATATGTCCTTTGTGGACAGCATTAACATTGTGGATAACAGTGTTGATCTATAGGCAAGAAGTGAACAGAGAGTGGGAACAATTTCATTCCAATCATCTTGATGTGGGGGGGTCTCTAGTTGTGGTTTCTGTCATTCTTATTTCTTCCTCTAAGTTTATTCTAACATTAGAAACCATAGCATATCAAAACTAATATTTTGTTCCCCATTTCTAGGATTGCTCAAATTTGGTGTAAAACTAAACACTGAACTGAACTGCTTCATGGAAATCTGAAAATCTCTTGAAAAAGCTTTAGGAATTCCTTGAAAGAAAATGTGTTCTTTCCATTGGTGGCTCTAATGCACAGTCAGCATTGGAAACAAGCACGTTAACACAATACTGACAATAATCCCAAGAAGAGTGTATAATTATCTTTATTTTACAGTAAGTAAAACAAGACACCGCATTCACAAGCAGCAAGACTGGGATTTGAGCCTTGGCAGGTGATTTGTCTCCACAATTTATCCTTTTATCAACTAAGCTCTACTAACCTTCAAAATCAAAACCACTAGATATTTAGGATACCATTCACGTGGTGTACATAATAAATCCTTTTGCAATGTCTCTACAGTTGGATTTTTTAAAAAACCTCTTGTATAACTTTGGCTGARAAAACAAACAAGATTTGGATCTAGGAATTACTCTGGTTTGCACATGACTGGGAAACTGACCAAGCTTGACCCAGTACTGAAATCAGTGATTTCACTGTTTGCTGTTAAAAGTGATCAACTTCGTGCCACCCCAGGATTCCCTCCTGCAGCCAGCTCTCTGAGGCTGCACTTCTCCCTTGTCCTTCGTTTACCAAGAACATTCATATAAATGATTCAGGTACAGATGTCAGAAAGGAACTGCTGCTCCCTTCTCACTGACATTTGTCCCCCAGGGAAAATGGGTTTGAAAGTTCAAAATCTACTTGTGAGCCCCAAATTACCACTGTCCTCATCTATTTTGGCTGAACTAGAAGCAAAGAAAGCACTTGATTTATATAAAGGGAGTTGGGAATGGAAAGAAAAACCATTTTTGTGTTGCTATGACTTGGTTTCTCTAAGCAGTCACGTGAATAACAACCTTGCTTTTGTTTACCTGAATCTGGTTTAGACCACAAGCATTCTTCTCACTGGGTCTGGTTGGCCTTAGAGGTGGTCTGTTTCAATGTCCAGAGCAAGAGATAAGGCAAGTAGAATATAGAATATAAATGGGGGGGGGGAATAGATGATGTCACCATATCTATTTAAAGAGGAGAAAGAAATACTATCCTCTGAAATGTGTGGGAGTTTGCAGGGTGTGACCCAGGCAGTTATCAACTAACAGGAGACATAGAGTGTAAAGTAGGGGGTTTAAAATAGTGTCTTACAAGGAATGTGGGAGCAAATTGGCAGAGTCACAAAGTGACATCCTGACATTCCACCCTCCATGGGGTCTGTCACTACACTGTTCAAAATAGGGCAACTCATGGTATGACCTGATCAAAGAAATTTAGCTAAGACATAGAGCCCAGAGGACATATATCAGGCATAGTCTGCTAGTCATTCACTAGGTGCATTTCACATGGTATCTCTCTCGATCCCAGGGTTTGTACCGAGAGAGAGGGGTATGATTTCCCATTGATAATTCCGAGTTAACTGTTAGGAAGGAAGACAGCATAGATTTGAAATGAGATTTGGTTGCTTCTAAAGCCTGTGTTATTCCACTCTGATACAGTCTTCCTAACTCACTCTCCTTGTACTGAGCTTCATGCTCATTTGGTACAACATGCCTCAGCAAAGGCACTTCTGAGCCATCAGCCAGGGTGGCAAGGGACAAAAGGCATGGGCTCATATGCTAGTAGGAGTCCAACTGTTCCCTGAGACCCCAGAGCTGTGTCCCTTCCTTGGGTTCCATTTCAGCAATCTGGGTTCTTCTTTCCCAGCCACTGGCTGCCMGTCAGCTCTTGCTGTCATCATCCCTCATATCCCATGTAGATCAGTCTACTGATGTAACTGTGTCCAAACGTTTTTTACTTCTGTATCTGACATATGAGCGAGAGGTTCTTGGGGTTGTTTTTGTCTTTTGCCCCCCACCTCCCTGGYTTTTCTCTGCAGCACTGGGGATTAAAACTAGGGGTGCTCTACTACTGAGCTACACCCCCAGCCCCTTTTAATTTATTTTGAGACAGGGTCTCACTAGGTTACCAAATTTGCAATGCTCTTGCTATCGCCTCCTGAGTTGCTGAGATTACAGGCATGGACCACTGCACCAGGCTGTCACCCTCTTTTGGATTCTATTTTCTGGGATAATGTGATTAGCTGATCAAGAAAAGGACTCATTCATTTAGCAAGAATTTACTGAGTTCACACTAAGGAAACAGAAATGTTCTAGGTGCTAGGAACAGAGATAATTAGCATTCAGTTCCTCCTTCAAATACCCTAGTGTTCTTCTCACCTGTTACAGCTGTGCCTGGTGACAGTCCTGGGACTGGGAGCACCTGATTTCCTCATGCCTAACTTCCCTAACGCCTGAGCCAGGACAGCAGTCCAGCCTTGGCAGTTTGATTCAGTTCTGTTCTTGTTCTCACGATTTTGTGCTGTCTGGTAGAGCTTTCTTTTTTGGAAATGTTATTGGGTTTTCCTTGATCTATCTCTTTTTGGAAGCCAGATCTCAACTCCAAAGGGCAAATGAGAAGAAAGGAATGACAGGGCAGCTTGTGCCCTTGAACAGATAGAACTGGCTGCCTCACCAGAGCCACCAGCTGAAGACCCTCCCAAGGAGTGAAAAATCATATCGACAGTGAGAGAGAGAATGTTCCTCAGGCAAGGGTCTCAGGCAGGATTGCAATTTGCATTCAGTAAAATTCCCATTTACTCTATGTTAAAAGCCCATTTAATATGAGAGAAGCGGTGGCTTAGTTACCGAGTGTCACTTCTCAGCAGTTCTCAGAGCTACAATGCACCTGTTACTAAGAACACTGGCGCTGCGTCAGGGCTTCAGAAACAGCAACAGCGGGGAGCAACAGGAGGAGGCTGAACTTGAAACTTTGGTTAATTTTCCACAATGATAGAATTACCTTTGCTCACTGTTCCCATTATTTACTGATTTGTAGCAACTTCTAAATTCTTATATACAGTTATCAAAAGAAGGATTTTTTTCCTTATGGTTTAAATAGAGACAGTTTCAAGAACAACCATTACCATATGTTTCCCCAATTTCCAACATAAATCTGATCAACTAGGTTAATAACCCCTCTCGTCAGAATGAAGACTGAGGTTTACACGGGGAAAAAAAGAAAAAAAAAGTACTTTGCTACTTTAAAATGAGACACACTCACTGACACACAGAACAAACCAGTTGAAAACCATGACATTTTAGAGCTGGCAGCAGATGAACTCAAACAGTCAGTAAGGAAATAAATATGTCAGAAACAAAAATTAAGCAAATATACACACCTAAAGGCAAAACAGGAAAAAAAAAAAAACTGTCTAAATATACCAGATGGAGTGAACAGTCATCTGTGGGCAGTGTCCCCAGSGTGTGAGTTTCTTTTAATTGGATTACTTACCGACACAAGTGGAATTCCCATTTCCCAGGGGTGGGCCTTCGGAACAGCTCCAGGACTGTTGTGCTGAGATGCTAACAAAACTAAATTTTAAAACTACTGGCAATAGAAGGATAAGTAAGAGCAGCATAATCACGATGGACTTAAACTCTCAATCGCCAAGAACTTGACTTTGCTCCAGCACAGCCCAGGCAAAGTGAGTCTGTCTGACCCCCAACTCCACCCCGGTCAGCCTTCTGCCCCCGGGGCATCTTTTACTCTTTGGCCAGTTTTTCTTGCTACTGCTCTCCAGCTTCTTCTTCACCTCAAGAGAGCTTCTGAGTGCAGCCTCAGAAGGATCCAGGAAAGATTTCTTTATCTGAGTTTTCTTTGGAAGCCAGGAAGAAATACCTGACACCCTGATGACAAATTTCACAGAGGCTACTCTCTGGAGGCCTGTGGCTGACTTTGTTGTGACAGGCAGAGCTAGGCAAAAGGCTTAGAGAGAGAAAAAAAAAAAAAAGAAAAAGAAAAAGAAAGAAAGAAAGAAAGGAAAGAATTGATGGAAAGTTCCAACCACGACCCCAGGATGAGGTTGAAGAAGAAATATGTAGATAGGATTCCTCCCCAATACGGTTTCTCTTTTTGAAAAGCAGAATGACTCCTCTTTCCTTTTTAAAGCTTGGTTGGCCCCACCTCCTCTCCTTTAGTGACACTTGAGTGAGGCTCTGTTTGCAAATTGGAATGTACGGGACAGGAAAGCAGGACTGGCTGCCAGAGAGGAGATAACTGCTACTCACCATAAATATTCTGGGCAGACCAGGGAAAAAAGCAATTAGGGGGCTGTGGAGGAGCCAATGTTGTCTCGGAGGTAACTGCTGAATATTGGCTGTGTTTGAATATCTTGAAGGATGGAGACATGATTAGACTATGCAGTGCATATAAATCAATGGTGAACAACACCGCTGATAATTTACATTTATAACAATTGATCACTCGCATGAGCAATACCAAAGATAATTCACCCTCAGCTCATTATTTGAATGAAATGTCAACACCAGCGCACATTCCCGGGGCTTAATCTTTTTTTCTCTCTCCTGTATATTTTATAGCGGAATCTGAAAGATTATTCTTTCCAAATCAAAGGGAAATCCCTGAAGCCAAATGAAGAGATACAGTATGCACAGACACCTCTTCTTTCAGCGTGAGCATAATAAAACGTCACGAGGGGCCAGGAGTGCAGGGAGAGGAGCAGATTGTTATTATAGAGTCGTGTTGGAAAAATAAGTTGATAGTGTAAAAACTAGGAAGCATGGGAAACCCTGCATGGCTGAATGCAATTCCTTCTCAGATAATTTGTGATCTTTCCACATCATGGTGATAGAAAGTGAAAGCTTGACTGTATCCGTTAATTTTCTCCTGCACCACTCTTTACTTGGAGCAACCCCAGTCATTTCTTCAAGCGTACACCCAGGGCCCAGAAATACCCAGCTCAGGCAACTGTTTACACCAGATTTGATGAACAATGGAAATTTCTGCTCATTTACTCCATCTTGGAAAACAGACCTTTATTTAAGTTGCCCCAAGGTAGTGTTCCAAATGCTAGTCTAAATGTAGATAAAGCAATAATCATGAAAATAAAAGTCTCAATAGTGGCCCAAGAAAACAGAACAACTCAAAGCCCTTCACTTGTGTATAATTATTTGATTATTTGTCAAAAAGTTAAATCATGATTTCTCCAACTTCAACCAGCCTCTGCCAGGCAGCTCTGACCCTGTGTAAGGAGAAACGGACCCTGAAGGGACAACAGAAGTCATGTGGATGGATATACGGAATATTCCATTGCTTTCTGGACTTGCTCAGACTCAAGATTCAAACTGAGAGCCCTACAAACAACCTGCACTGACTATTCAAGTTACTAGCCTTGTTAATAAGCTTCCCCTTCCGCAAAACACATGGCCAGTATCACARATGATAGCAATTGAAGGGGCTTAGAGGACAGTCCCACATGAATCGGTGTGAGTAAAGACAATGATAGGAACATGGTTATGAAATAATATACAATAATATCCTATTTGGATTTAGACTCTCTCATGTTGTTTTTGGTTATAAAAAGATTTTCTTTCCTGGGGCTGGGGTTGTGGCTCAGCAGTAGAGTGGTCGCCTACCACGTGCAAGGCCCTCTGTTTGATCCTCAGCACCACATAAAAATAAATAAATAAATAAAGGTATTGTGTCCAACTACAACTAAAAAATAAATATTAAAAAAAAAAAAGATTTGCTTTCCTAGTTCTGCATCAGCTTGGCTAATGTTTTTATTTATATTGAACATAATGACACATCTTTAGGAGATGGCATCAGTGTGGGTATAAGAAATGCTTCAACTGATGCCTGATGTTGAAGATCAATGCAGTTGATTCACAGATAATCTATAGTTGCAAAATCATAGAACAGAGCTACCTAACTAGAAAGGGCTTTCAGAGACATTTAATTCATTCTCAGAAATAATTTAATCAGTCCATGTTAATATTAATAATTTAATAAGTCCATATTCTCTTTCTTAATTAATTATTTTAATTAATTATACATGACAGCAGTATGTATCCATTTTGATTCATTGTACACAAATAGAGCACGATTTTTAATGTCTCCAGTTGTACACAAAACAGAGTCACACCATTCATGTCTTCATACATGTACCTACATCTCATTCCACCATCTTTTCTACCCCCATGCCCCCTCCCTTCCCCTCCTTCTCCTTTGCCCTATCCAAAGTTCCTCCATTCCTCCCATGTTCCCCCAAAAACCTTCATTATGGATCATCATCCACTTATCAGAGAAAACATTCGGCCTTTGGTTTTTTGGGATTAGCTTACTTCACTTAGCATAATATTCTCCAACTCCATCCATTTACTTGCAAATGCCATGATTTTATTCTCTTTTAAGGCTGAGTAATATTCCATTGTGCATATATACCACAGTTTTTTTTACCTGTTCATCTGTTGAAGGGCATCTAGGTTGGTTCCACAGTTTAGCTATTGTGAATTGTGCTGCTATAAACATTAATGTGGCTGTATCACTATAGCATGCTGATTTTAAATCCTTTGGGTAAAGACCTAGGAGTGGGATAGTTGAGTCAAATGGTGGTTCCATTCCAAGTTTTCCAAGGAATTTCCACACTGCTTTCATATTGGTTGCACCAATTTGCAAGAGTGTGCCTTTTCCCCACATCCTAACTAACCATAGTCCACATTCTTAGATCTAGATAAAACTGAACTTTTCCTGGGCAAAGAGATCTTTATTTTAAAGCTGACTGGAAGTCTCTTATAACTTCATGATTTAAGCTGCCAAACATGTTTTAGTTTTTGGAATTGAGTCAAAATTAACTAATTCATCAATTAAGCAATTAAATGTGATAGGGCATTGTATGGAGTACAAGAAACAGAAGTAATGAATTCTCTGAGGTGAATTGTCAAGAACAAAGAAGACTACATAAGTATGAGCTAGTGAATGTTCAGTCACCAAATATTTGGGGGGTCTGTCAGGAAAGAAAGGGGGAACTGTAATGAACTTTGTGAATTAGAACATGTAGGGAAGTTTTGTGCAATAATTGGGAAGCCTCAGATGGGCTTGGAGAAGGAAAAAGGCCACGATGAAAACAGAATGTGGAACAAGAATGGACAAAGAAATATATATACACACACACAGCGGAGTTCTACTCAGCCATTAAAGAAAATGAAATTATGGCATCTGCCAGGAAACGAATGGAAATGGAAACTATCATGCTGAGTGAACTTGGCCAACTTAGAAACTCAAAGGTTGAATGTTTCCTCTCATATGTGGAAGCTAGAGTAAAATAAAGGGAGAGGGTAGGGAAGGACAAGATTACATAAGGAAACATTGGAATCCAAATTAATAGATGAGCAAAAGGAAGTTTAGTAGAGCAGAGGAAGGAGGGGGACGGAGGACTGGAGGGAAAAGGGGGATCATGAACTGGAATTGATTTCCATGCATGTATGAGGTTGTCGGGAGGAACCCAGCTACCACGTATAAACATAAAGCTCTAATTTAAAAAATGGACAAAGAACATAACTAGAGCTTTAGACATTGAGGTGACACAGCTGAATAATAAATCCTATTGGTAGGTCAGTACAAAAATTAAACATCAGTGGCAAGAAGACAGTGCTGAATGCTTTGCAGAGTGAGTAGGCAGCACTGGCTAGAAGAATGAAGGCTACTGGGAGTCATGTTTATGTGTGCTGCTCATTATGCTAATGTTTCAAAGAAAAGTTCCCCATCGAAACACAAAGCACCTCATTCTGCGGTGTTACATATTTCCTATACGCAACAGCTCTGATTTGTCATCACCACCACTCACCATCAACAGATGGCTTCCTATGTACCAGGAAACACAAAACATCTGCTTTATTCACATCACCTCTAATCCTCAACACCATCTGGCCAAAGGAATAGATATTATTAATCCCATTTCACAAATGAGGACACTGAAGATCAGAAAGACTGAGTAATTTTCCCAAGATCACACACATTTATAATTAATAATTTTGAAGTGTGGGGGATTGAACTCAGGACCATGCATGCAAAGCAAATGCTCTACCACTGAGCCACATCCCCAGAAATYTGATGAGTTTTGATAAATGTGCATATGAACTTGACCAACACCTCAATCAATAGGTGAATGAATAAACAAACTATCGGTGCATCTACACAATGAGATACTATTCAGCAATAAAAAGAAATGAGCCATCAAGCCATGAAAAGTTCAGGAAGAACCATAAATGCATATTGATCAGTGATGTAATGTGTAAATCTACACTCTATGATTCCAACAATAACACATTCTGGAAAAAACAAAATATAGAAAGAATTAAAAAATGAGTGATTTTTCTGAGTTTCAGGGGGAGGAAGGCAGGGATGAACAGATGGAGCACAAGCAATTTTTAAGGCAGTGAAATTGCCATGAATGATACTGTAATGGTGGACATATGTCATTTTTCAAAACTTATAAGTATAATGAGAAGAGTGAACCCTAGGTCTATCCCTAATCATGTAGAAACGTTCTTCAGTCTAAGAGTTTAAAAACAAGTGTGCAGAAACTGAGTATATAAAAAGAAAGGGTATAACAACCCATAATATAAAAATTTATAATTTTAGCAGGAGTACCAACATTTAAATCTAAGAAAAATAAACAAGTCATTTTAAGTTGTATTTATTTTTTGCTATCTCAACCTGCTTCCTTTGTCATTTTCCCAGCTGTTTTAACTTATAGAAATAACAAAGTTTAGAGAAAAAAAACTCTGGCTTTTTTTTATCATTCACAAGAAATTCTTTCCCTGACCTTTAATTTTTACTGAATTTATAGGAAGTATAGTAACATTAACTACAAGGCATTTGCAATTCTAAAAACAGTACTGGTGATGTGACTGTGTATGTAAATACTACTTGCTAAAAACTAATGAAAATTCATTGCTTGCAGTTCTTCATTTGGTCTTGGGTTTATAAAACTGAATCAAAATCTTTTCTCCCATCTTCTACCTCCAAGGACAGTATTTATAGGAGTGAAAATAACTATGGTTTGACACTGAAAATTGGAAAGATGAAAAGAAAAAATATTTATTAGAGAATTGTAATTAAATGTAGTATTTGGGTTC